CTTACTTTAGCAAAGGAAAGCCAGTCTCCTCTTGGCTTATATCGAAATCCTCCGACATTCTTCTTTACAAATCCTCATTTTGTACTTTCAATTATGTGACCGTTGTTTTGTTTTGATCTCTCAGTTGCGCTTCCGCGTTCGTCACTTCTGAGCGGCGCATGCACAACACCGACCTCATACGTCATCCTCCCGGAGCTGCTTCCGTGTACAACAGCGAGTGCAAGCTACATTAAAGTGATTATGTTTTGAATATGGATATTTTTCTTACAAAAGCGCATCGATTCGCTACAGGAGGCCTTTGTTCACCCCCCGGAGCCATGTGAAACACTTTTTTATGGATGGGCACTTTTTATTTAACTTTTTTTGGACTGATGCATGCAACACCGGCTGAGTGGCATTAAACAGCTTGAAAGATCAAAGACAATTTTTAATATAACTCCGACTGGATTCATCTGAAAGAAGAAAGTCATATACACCTATGACTTGAGGGTGAGTAATTTGTGGGCTAATTTTAATTTTTGGGTGAACTAACCCTTTAACTTTGCAAATTCTAGTATTGCATTAATATTGCATCCTTCTCATGGGTATTTAATCATTTTTAAAGAGTTAAATGTCTTTTTTGGCTCATTTTATCTGTAAAAGAAAACCTGCTTAATAATTATGCACACCTGAATATAAGGAGTTTTTCCGCTTCCAGCCTTCATGGACAATTATGTATATCACTTATAAATGATTAAATACAAAATTAATAGTAGTTATTAAGATTGACGTGGTTTGGAATTGGTCAAATGTGCTTGGAAAAAAAATATGATCAGAATATCAACTTGCCTAATAATTATGCACGCACTGTATATATAGCATATAAATAAAACAAAAAATAACTACAAAACCACCTGGCAACCACACAGCAATTATTCAGAACATCTTAGCAACTTCAAAACAACGCCTGGTCAACCAACCACACTTTGTCCTAGCATAGTGAGTTTTGAAGTAAAAAAGACAAAAAAGCACTATAAAAGAATCACATGCACAATCTTCCAATTTTTCAAATTCTCGTGATAGATCTGTGTGAGGAATAGACTGAAATTTAAGCCATTATTCACTGAAAATCTGCTCATGAGGGTGAGTAAATGATAGAGAATCTTCACTATTCCTTTTATAATCATAATAAAAATAGATTAACGCATCTGTTTTATATGTCCTAATGTACTCATTAGCTAAACTAGCTCACACGTCATGGTGATTTTTAACACAGAAATCCTCCCTTTTCTCCTACAGCCTGTCAATAAATCCTTTTGAGACCACTGAAGTCTTGCTTTCTCTATGGAGCTGAAGGAGAGACGCGTCTCATGGTGACCTGTGTCTGAGTTTGTGGTGTATGACAGAGACAGACGTGCTCAGAGGTGCTGCTTTCAGAATCAGGTTGGCCCGTTTCAGGTGCGGGGAGACCCATCCGGGCCAGAGACTCTCCTTTAGTTACGGAGAGCCACACGGCATCAGCTGTAATTAACACACGACTGGAGCAACGTGCACTTTTAAAAACAAAACAGATGAAAATAAAACAAGATTTTGACATTTTCTGCGAGGGTTCGACATGCAAAACATGTCAGGAGTTTGTTCAAATCGCTACACTAAATGTGAGCGAAAGTAATAGAAATATCTGCGTATCTGCATTACAAAGAAGAGATGTCACAAACCAAACCAGACGTCCAACCACTATTTTTAGAAATAAAATGAAGTTGAAATGAGGACACACTCAAATACAATCCTACAACACACAACCTCTGAGAACAGGCAAACGTATAACTCTCTCAGACAAAAACAAACTACATCAGACATAAACATTATTAACAAAGCAGTTCAGTTAAATCAAATAAAAATAGGTTTTTAATATAGCAGTTTAAAAGCACGCTAAATAATTTGCATTAAGTGCCCATGGACACTTTATAGGTAAAAATTGTCAATTGTATACTAAAGCATCACTATTTTTGCCTTTATTAATTCTTCTATAATGAAATGAAGAATAATTTCTAATCGTACAAATATTCCATGTTGTTGCTCAATTAATAAGTACTCATAAATCTGCATGTGTAGTAATTACAAAACAATTAGTAAAATGCTTTTTAATTTTTTTTTCTAAATGCCATTTCACTTCCCAAATATAAAAATCAATACTAAACATAAAAATTAAATTCTATTTTCTACCTAAATTAATTATATTCCTCAAATAGACATGAAAAAATGCCTGTTAATATTGCCTGGTCATATTTACAAATGCCATATAGCAAATACTATTAATAGGACGTCAACGTCCTAAAATTATTTCATGCCAACGACCCAAATATAAAAAAATAAACATTGTATATAAAAATACATTGTATAGGCTCAGAAAAACATAAATATTTATTGTGGTGTTTTTACCAGCTCTCATTCTGACGGCACCCATTCACATCCATTGGTGAGCAAGTCATGTAATGCTACATTTCTCCAAATCTGATGAAAAACAAACTCATCTACATCTTGGCTGGCCTGAGGGTGAGTACATTTCAGCAAATTGTCATTTTTGGGTGAACTGTTCCTTTAATTGCTCACATTGGTTTACACCTTTTAAGATCATTTACAGTCTTGGTGATCTTGAGTGTTTGGTTGCGTTTGATTGATCACCAGTTGTTGGGAAGTCACAGCACACATTAACTCATGAGGCGTCATGACGTGCTCCAAGTCTGCGGGTTTAAATAAGGAGCAGCTCGCAGCTCAGACAGGTTAAAATTGCTTGTGAATGCACTGAAGATCACCTATATATATATATATACACACACACACTTGCATGAAAAACTAAATTTTTTATATTTTGTATTTTATTTTTATAGAGTAAATAAAGGTATTTTATTTACGTAAATATATGTTCTAAAAGCTTTTATATATACAGTATATATATATATATATATAATGATATGTTGTATATTTATATTGTATGTAAAATTATACATTTTTGTATTATTTATGCAGGAATTTATTTATGCATTTAACTAATTTCAAATCATTATTATAGTTGCACTTTACAAAGCAGTTGCTTACAGTAATATTAGTTAACACATTAGGCGTCATAAATAACAATATTATTTTTGCTGCATTTATTCACCTTGGCAATTTTATAAATACACAATTGTTCATTTTTCATTATACAACTGTTGATGTTAAAAATAACAAGACAAGATAAAGTGCTAAAAGAGATCAAATGCTAATACGTAGCTATTGTTTCTTGCTATTTCATGTGCCATAACTGTTAACAAGCATAAACTTATTGTAAACTATGCATATTTTGTGCACAGAAAACGTTCAGCTCAGAAAAGTAAAAAAAAAAAAATGTTTCATGTTCAATTTAAAACTAAAATAGACTATTTTAATTGCGAATAAATGCCTTTTCATCTATATTTATATGCACATATATGCACAATATGCACATACACCGTCTTGAAATATTTAGCTATAGCTATGTTTATCTTCATAGACTCTATACATTTTAACTGTGAAATGTCAAAAAGACCCTTTTCTAATTCCTACACACGTCAAGACTATAAGAAGTCATTTTTAATCTTGCATCGATCACTTTATAAAACAAAAGAAATGAACTTTGAAATCAACAATACCTCTCTCCAGCAGGGCTCCTGATGTCTGTCAGTGCTTCATCTTCATCTTCATCATCATCATCTGAAGTGAACGCGTTACTTGCAGTGAAGAGGAGGAGAAGTGCTTCGGGTTGTCTGTGATGCTGTGAGTGAAACACATGTGTGGAGATGCAACAGCGTCTGTCAAGGCGGGCTCACGGAGGATGCTTTCGAAATATTTCAGAAACATAACAAATTCAGAGGTTTTGTCATATGTAAAGAGTATTACGCCATACTCTCTGGGGGAAAAATGATGACTCCGCTAATAATAACCAGTGTTTGGGAAAGTTACTTATAAAAGTAATGCATTACAATATTGCGTTACTCCATAAAAAAGTAACTAATTACGTTACTTAGTTACTTTTTATGGAACGTAATACGGTGCGTTACTTTTTAAATCTGGACAGGGCTTGCTTGTTTGTTTTTAAAATAAAAAAGTACTATTTTTGGCAAATATAAAAGCCTTTTCACTCCAAAAGTGAAATGAATAAACCTCAGGCTGAAGGAAAGTCAATTTACGTCCGTACAGTAGAATGCAGAAGAAGACATTTCAACACACTTCAGCAATAAACAAAGTTGTCTAGAGTAATTTGTGCTTATTAGTATGCTTGAACTGGATCATCGAAGCTCAGAAGCAAATAGAATGGGATTAAATGCATAAAGCATATTTGTGTTGTTTAACATTTAATTATTGCAGGTTTGAGTCATATTCTGAGTTGCATTATTTTTAATCATTTTGAGGAATACTGAATCTGTGTGTTGTTGTTTTTTTGTGAGTGAGATGAATTAATGCATATTCATATTTATTTTAGAGCTACAGTAACATCTGATTTCTCTCAACATGGGCACAGGAGAGCTGTTAGTCAATACATTGGGAAAAAAGTAACTTGCGTTAATTATTTGAAAAGGTAACGCAGATATTCTCTTGTAAATTAGAAAGTAATGCGTTACTTTACTAGTTACTTGAAAAAGTAATCTGATTACGTAACTCGCGTTACTTGTAATGCGTAACACTGATGATAATAATATAAAAATATCAAATTAATGTTAAACTTAATGTGTTTAACAAATACGTTATTTACAAGCAAAATTAGTTATTTTAGCTATATAATGTACGCGTTATTAATACCCTTATAACGTATCGCGAACGTGCTAGTCAGCTTAAAAAATAGTTCAAAACGATAATCAGTTAAAAACATTCTCTTAAAAACGCATCTCAAGACTTTCTGTTCAATTCATTCGTTTTCCATCTAGTTATATAACGCCAAAAGGCGTTCCAGCTTATATGGTTCACTCTCAGAATGTTACACTTAAATGTTGTTTTGAATAAAAAGCAGAGTTCGGTTCGTTAGTGTTTTCACAGCATTAGCATTTAACACGTCTCTCACGTTTTTAGCTTCGCTTTATTTGCGTCCATCCGGGCCGCCGTAGGCACGCTGCAGGTTTTTCCATCATGGCTGCGTACATCACTCACCCTGCGCTGTCCTCCTTAAGCAAAATAAACTGTAATATTAATGCAATATACTGCTTCATTTCATTCAGCAGGAGGATTTCAATCTCCTCCAATGTCCTCTCAACAAGCGCCGTGACCACAGAATCAGGTAAAAACCGTATTATCTGTTATTTAATCTATTTACAGTATTACATTATTATTAGCATATTATACTATTAGTAGTAGTATTACAGAGAGCTACAAAATCGTTTATTATAGAGCAAATATGTCATTACGTTACTAAAATGAACTACTACATTTAACTAACAAAGCTGGCATAATATTAAAATGTGATTGGACATGTACCATAGTACTACCATGGTATTCTTTGACTAAGTAAATACAGTTGTAAATTAATATGATAATCGTTCAGTACATTACTCATTCGATACCCATGGTGTTATCAGTTGATACCGTCACTGTACCATCAAATTCAGGGTTAATTGCTCGTCTGGCGTGTTGTATTTAACTAAATTGTTTATTATGGCCTAATATTATGTTACTTATTGAATGTGAGCTTATTTTCTGCACTCATCTGATTATAGAAGCTGCAGGCCGAGGTGTCCGGGGTCAGCGGAGGTCAAAGAGACAGGTTGTTATTACACTTGACCTCATCATACTCGTAATGCAGTTGGTCTGTGTTCTCATCTATCTTTATGAATCAGGTAAATAATATTATTATTAATAAAACACGTTTGATTGCATGGCACAGGCTGGGGAGCCCAGGACCGAGCGGATGACTGTGGATCAGGACTGGACCGCAGTTTATCCCACTGCAGCGTCGTTCAAACCGTCCACCGTTCCTCTGCCGGTGCGGATGGGATATCCCGTGAAGAGAGGCGTACCGCCTGCCAAGAAGGGCAACCTGGAACTGATGAAGGTGATCACGTCTTTTCAACTACATCTATTTAAAAACAAAATTAAAGCAAACTCGAGCAGAAGTGCGATGTACAATATTTATTTATGTATTTATTGGGGGTGGGGGGGGGGGGGGGTTCTGCTGGTCTTAAAAGGTCTTAAATTGCAGCAGAAAGTCTTAAATTCATAAAGCCATTGCATTGAATGTTGCATGCACTGCACTGCACAAAAACAAAACAATATCTTCCTCAATACTAATTTCAACATCCTTAAATCAAGACACATTTGAGATGCAAATTGAACATATGTGACCCTGGAGCACAAAACCAGTCATAAGTGTCAATTTTTGGAAATTGAGATGTATACATCATCTGAAAGCTGAATAAATAAGCTTTCCATTGATGTGTGGTTTGTTAGGATGGGATAATATTTTGCTGAGATACAACTATTTGAAAATCTGGAATCTGAGGGTGCAAAAAAAATCTAAATATTGAGGAAATCAGCTTTAAAGTTGTTCAAATTAAGTTCTTAGCAATGTATATTACTAATCAAAAATGAAGTTTTGATATATTTACGGTAGGAAATTTACAAAATATCTTCGTGGAACATGATCTTTACTTAATATCCTAATGATTTTTGGCTTAAAAGAAAAATGGATAATTTTGACCCATACAATGTATTTTTGGCTATTGCTACAAATATACCCCAGCGACTGCTTTTGTGCTGCAGGGTCACATATGAAGTCTTGTTTTTTGAGAAATTGAACACAATTAAGTGAGTTTATGCTTAAAACAAGAACAATTGTCTTTCAATAAGGTATGAAAACTTGTTTTCCCTTTTAATTAAGTAGATTTTTCAGAGTTCATTGGCAGATTTGTTCTTGTTTTAATCATAAACTCGCTGAGAAAACAAGATTTCTTATGTCATTTTTGTCATTTCAAGTAAATGTCTTGATTTAAGAATCTTTAGACATTTGCACTGGAAGACGAGACAAAATACAGATGAACACTTTTTTTTGCCGTGCGATCTCAAGCTATAGTACGATTTATTTCCATATTCCAGTGTTTGCGCTAATTAATGAATTGGAAAAATAATGGAGATCTTGCATTTTCAAACTTTGAAGTGTAGCTAATTGAGACCATATTGACATATTTTGTTCCATTCAAATTATTCCTTCATTTTAAATGTACCTTCATAAAACGTCAGAAACCCTGTTGTTTGTGCGTTATGATGTGCATGGCAGAGCATATCTCTAAGGTCAGTTTGTTAGGATGTAGACCTAGCATGTCTCTTTGAACAGAAATGTTTAGAATTTGGAACATATTTTTTTTTCTGCAAAAATGGAAACCCGTCTATATAGATTGTGGAAACCTTATTGTGAACTTTAAATAATGCTAACTGGTCCTATTCAGTTCGTCTTTTGTTGCATATACATCAAAACGTGACATTTGTAATAAAACACTTTTTTTTAATGACATGCTTTAATGTCTTTCAGATCCCAAACTTTTTACACTTAACCCCTGTTGCTATTAAGAAGCACTGTGAGGCCCTGAAGCGTGAGTTTTTTTCAGTTTTCAATAATGGACAGCAGCAAATGTTATGTGGCGCGCTAAATGAGAGAGAAAGTTTCGTAAATGTTTTCCCGGTTTAATTTGTCCAGAGTTCTGTACGGAGTGGCCGTCTGCCCTGGACTCGGATGAGAAGTGCATGAAGCATTTCCCGATCCAGGTGCAGAGTAAGGAATTCGTGTCCGCTGGATTGTCGCTGCAAAACCCAGACGCGAGGATAGTGACACTGAAGGTATGTCTGTCAGTTTTGTTTATTACTTTCTGGAGCTTAAATTAATATTTCCCAAATTATGAAGTTGTTTTTGGATATGACCTCTTTGTTCAAAACAGCCCAGCATCCACCTAGAAACCAGAGCTAAACTGCATATTCTGCTTGGTTTTCTTTCTGAATAATAAGCTGTTTGAATGGGCAGAAATTCGACAAATTTTCATTCCGGGTTTTTTTTTTTTTGCGTGTTTGTGTGTGTAACCATTCAGTTTTTCATCATCACGTATTTAGAGTAAACTGTGTGTAAATGGCATGTCAAAGCAAAACAAACTGCGGTTAGTCGCTTTACACGTCAGTCATGGTCTCTTTCTGTCTAAGTTGGTGTTTTTGGACAGAATATGCTGCGGAAGGGACTAGACAATTTACTGTCAAATGTGCGGCTACTTAAAAAATGAAGCATGATGTGAACTCTTTTTCTGCCCATACGGTCTCCTCTTAGCAGAATTATTTACACTTGAACATATTCAGTAGCACATTACGAAAGATACAGGAGAATTAAATGAGCATATACATTCCAGATAAGTACCGTATTGGCCCGAATATAAGATGACCCTGATTATAAGACGACCCCCCTTTTTCCAGATGTAGCTTTTGGAAAAAGGCTTTTTAAAAACCAAATCTTGTTTTTTCTCAGTAAAACACATTTTGTCTTCCAATTATTTTCATATTGCATATTTTTCCTATTTAAATTTTTGTTTTGAAAGTATGGTAAAAACTGGTAAAATGTACCAACAATCACATTAAAAATATGAAAAAAACAAACAAACAGGTAGCCCATCTGAATTAGGACATTTAGGCTATCCATCTAATAGTAGCCTACCAAAATCTTATTAACAGTAGAAGTTAAATCTTACTGTAGTCTTCAAATCTGGGTACTGTATTACGTTTTAAAATCACGAAGGGAGTTTGGTCGCATCAGGCTAACGTGACAGTCACGACTCATGAAGCGGTAAGGTTTTACTCACGATCTTTACAACACGCATTACATTACGTATTTCATGGCACACTCGTTTTATGCGTATTTAGCGCCACCTATTGTTGTGGGTGTATTATTGATATGTCAACGTCTAGACCCTGAATATAAGACGACTGCGTTTTTTCAGATGTATTTCCAAGAAAAAAACATCGTCTTATATTCGGGTCAATACGGTAATAAGTCATTTTTGCTTGTCGTCAATAAATGGATAAATACTCGTCAATGAAATGCTGTTACTTGAAGACATGCGTTAAATCTTAGGGATGTAACGATTACCGGTTTGACGATAAATCATGATAAAATTCCCCACGGTTAGTATTACCGTTTCATCTTTTAATTATCATTAAAACTGTATTCGATTACCGCGATTTGAAAAACTCACGATAAATAAATACTGTGCAGCATAAAGCAGAGTTTTAAGTAACAGTCTCACGTGCGCACAGCACGCAGAGTAGTTTCGTTTTGAGTGAAAACAG